ATTCACTTGGCGAAAAATCAAGTTCACCATGCTCGTACCAAGCATATCGATGTCAAGTATCATTTTGTGCGGGATGTCATAGAGGAAGGCGATATTTCTCTCATGAAGGTGCATACGAATGAGAATCCCGCGGACATGTTAACCAAGGTGGTCACAGGCAGTAAGTAGGTGGAGACTATGTTAGAGAATAATTGCAGAACTACGGTTAGCTTGATCCCGGTGGAGGGTACGTAGGCAGTCACGGTATAGTGACGCAGCTGATTTGGCCTGGTTCTGTCCTGGATCTCTCTGGTGGAGTTCGTGGGGTTCTTCTGGTGTTCGTCCAAAATTTGAGGTTTATCAAATGATGTACGAGGTGGAGAATTGTGTGCGGGGGGACAGGGGGAGCCCACCCATGTGGGATAGCATTGTGCCGCGCCACTGCTCTCCTGTCCCATCTCCGCACGAACGAGCTCACAAGCTCATGGTCGTCTTCGCGCTGCTCCGCGCTGCTCCGCGCCCGCATCGAGCCCCCGCGCCCGCATCGAGCCCCGTGCCCGCTTGGAGACCCGCGCCGCTTGTCAGCTCAAGCTCGTGCTCGAGCTTTCTCCCTCGCGCGCTCTTTTCTCTTCCCGCGCTCGCGAGCCTGCCAAAAAGCTTCAGTCTTCCCCCCTTTGGTTTCTCCTATAAATAGGAGAGGTGGTGGAGGTGTTTTTGGTGTGGGGAAAATTGTGAAAAATCTTAAGTGGAGTATTTGAGAGAAAAGAAAGAGAGGAAGAGAGAACTTGTATAAGTTTGGTATTTTTCTTCATAGTGAAACCCCCTCCCGTGGACGTAGGCTAGTTTGCCGAACCACGTAAAATCTCGTGTTTGTATTTGTCTTATCTGTGAGTTTCCATAGCTTGTAGGTTCCCTCGAGATTTCAGTCCTTGAACTGATGAGAGGAAGAGTGTATATTTCACTTTGATGAAATATATCACTTTCGATTCTTGTTTCCTTTGAGAAATAAGAATTTCATTATCTATTATCGTTTCCTTTGAGGAACAAGAATTTAGAGGTTGACTTGTGCTTTTGTGACAACGAAAGCCAGGGCTCTCTCTCAGGTGATATCGCTTCCGCGGCGGTGGGCTTGACTCCGCCCCAACAGATTGCATATTGGATAGAAAACTATTGTTAACTAACTCAAGTTTAATTAGCTGGTTTATTAATAAGAAAAAAAGTTGTTGGTTGTTATAAGCATCACATTAAGCAAATAAAGATTAAAAAAAGAACTAAAGCAAAATTTTGATATGAATTTTATATATTTTTTTTCTAAGAGAAAGAATGCGAGAGCTTACAGAGGTAAGATATTGGAGGAAAGCAAAATTTTGATAGAGCAACTCCCCCATGAAAAGAAAAACACTATTACACGTAGCATGTGCATCGAGAGAAAACAAATTCATTCAATTAGAAGCGCAAGACACTAATATAAAATCTGGATTTGTTTAGCGAGAATAATTAAGTCAATCATTAAGTGTTTATTAGTAACCAATGTTTATTATGTTGGAAACAAAAAGAAACCTGACATTCAAATTTTATTTGACAGTAAAATTGTAAAAATAATTTTATTTTATTTTAATTTTTTAGCTTAAATAATTTCAGGTATAATTATTGTTATAGTTGCACTCTCTCCTCATCGTTACTATTTCATAAAAAGAGAACATCTATATGTTGGCTTTAAATATACAATATTTTGTATTACGGTTAACTTCACAAAACATTGTGAACTTTGGGGGGATTGTGCACATGACCTCTGTGATTTTTTTTCCTTTTTTCTTTTTTGTAAAACCTCCTATAATTATCGGTGTCTCGCAAACCCCAATGAACTTTAAACTTTATCAACAGATCCCTTTACCTGATTAATAACTAAAACTTAATTGGGAGCCAAAAAAACCGTGAATAAACTTTCTGTAGTGTTAAGTGCCTTGGCTTTCCCTTTGACTCAATCCAAAGAATACCCAAAATTCTAAAATAAATAAATATGAAGATTGGAAGCCTAATATGAAAATATGGTAGAATTAGGGTCAAATAAAATTCAGCACTAGAACTGTGATATCAGAATAAAAATTTGAGAGCAACTTTATATTAGAAACAATTTTGATAAGAAAATATTTACATTGTTTATTCATCATGTCTCAACAAATCCACGCTCTTTCTTTAAAGAATCATACAATGAGTGCTAAAAACATCAAAAAATTTGATGTTAGTTAGATCACCACCCTAACAAAAGCCAACTCATCATAAAGACACTCCAGGGAAAAACAACTAACTGAGAGTTCAAACTTGGCGATGTTCAACAAAGGAACGATTCCTTTAGGCATTCAGTGGAATAAATATGCAGTAAACTATTTTTACATGATTTGTATACTAAACATTTCTCTCAACTCTTATGTTTTCTAATAATGAATCACATCTATTACTGATTTAGAACATAATCATAATTTTTCAACAGGGAATCCGATAACAGGTCTAATCTGTGATGCCAGTGACCGGAGCTCCTCAACATCTCGATCAGCGAGACTCCAACCTAGAGCACCTATAAATTCTGTGGCTTGCTCTGCATTCTTAGCTCCTGGAATCGGCACCACATTGTCTTGACAAATTAACCAGTTGAGAACAACCTGAAGCAACACAGTGAAAAGAGACTATACATAAGCACGCATTAGTAAATTAATTCTATGAAAGATGCTAGTTTCAACAACAGATATTATCATCAGTCGGTAACACACACAAAGTTAATCATGGATATCTACCAGCCGGTACTCAAGACTTTTTGAAAAATAATAATTATTCTTAAGTATAACAACATAAGAATTCGGATAATCATTTTCTCAAAACCAAGGAATAATCTGAAACCTCCTCCTCACTAGTTAGAAGATCTTTTAACTAACCGAAACAAAGCAAGCAGATAATTAGACAAGGTTTCAGATGAAATTATAGAACCTGGGTAGGAGTTTTTCCGTAATTCTCTCCAATTTCTTTGATCCTGCTTACTAAAGGTTGTAGCTGCAGAGAGAGGATACTTAGTTTAGTAAAAATATGTTTAATGATATTATAAAAAACAGATGAAAGTATAGTAGTGATTTTGCCTTAGCGAGGAACTCGGGAGTGTAAATTAGGCCTCTAGGGCCAGTAGGAGGATTCACTGGGGTGTACTTTCCAGTAAGAGCACCTAATAAGAGGAACAAAGATTAGGAGAGACTCTAAAATACTAGACCTCCAACAAAACATAAGGCAGCAGCTTGCTGTTATAAGAATAGGAGCAAAGTTATGGAGAGACATATTCAGCATTATTGTCTGAACTTTATTTTCTTGCTATGCAGGTGAGAGAATTACATGGAAACTAGAATTATGCCTTAAACCTTTGGATAGTACTATTGCTAGCCATTTGTAGAGTTCAATCTCTTATAATTTCAGAATAAATACCTTGGAAGCTTAATTATTTCAAACAACGCGTTTGGCGCGAATTCTGTTCTAATGGAAATATTCGACATATGAATCATGTGCTGATGACAACACTCTCTCGAATGAACATTGTTCTGATGAAAATGAACCATGTCCTAGAACTTCTTGAAAAACCAAGGTTGATGTAACTACTAACCAAGCAGACCTTCAAACGACGGTTATAATTTCCTTGGGCTATGTACAGGACTATCCTAGGTTGCTTTTGTAGGAAATCAGGAGCCCAAAAGCAATCTTAAAAACGAGGGCTAACATTTCCTTGAGTTCTCAATCACCAGTTCCTCTCTGTCGTCTTCTAGATTCCACAAGAGCATTCATTTGCAAACTTATTCTATATATAGCAATATTTACTTGCATTAATCAATGATTATCAAATAAACAAATCATACCTTGAGCAATTGGAGAATATGCAATCAAAGTGATCCCTAGTTCATCACAAGCAGCCTTTACACCATTATCCTCAGGATTCCTGTATATTAGACTGTAATTCACTTGGTTGGAGGCCAAAGGAATCCCTCTCTTCTTTAGCTGGTCATAAGCATCTCTAAGCCGCTTCTCTATTGAATATAACAATGAAATTATTAAACTGCAACTACAAAGGGTAAACAAGAACTAAGCCGAGGTGTAGACATTTACCACTATAATTTGAGACCCCAACGGCCTTCACAAGCCCCTGTTCAACAGCATCTCCAAGGCCATCAATGTATCCTAGAATGTTTTGAACAATATATATTATCTTCCGTCTGGCACCAAGGTTTCTAAAATTGGACATATCAACGGTAGAAGATTACATCAGAATATAAGATTACCTTCATTTCCCCAAATCCCTGGCCTGAAAATTACCAAGAAATTTTGAATTACCTAAAGTTTATCATGCATGTACGTTCCAAGAAAATTCAGTACGAAGAAGTTTAACAAGCTAACCAATGAAGCTGGTAGAGGTCGACAGAGGAAAGGCCAAGTCGAGAAAAAGAATCTTTTAGAGCAGAGAGGACACTCCCTCGGCCAAACCTCCAAGGCAAAGCTGCAAATTTTGTTGCCACAGCTACCTCAACCTGATCCTTATTCTGCCTTTCTTTGATGAATCTGCAGCAAAAAGAGTGAGATCAATTATTAACATACAATAATTTTGAAACAACAATCATGACCTATCTCCAGTCACCATCATTATCTATTTCGTTCTCAATCAAAATGGGTTTGATTAGAGAGATTCCAAACGTGATAAAAATAAACTTGAACAACAAACAAAATCATGACTTATCTACACCCATCACCATTATCTACAAACAAAATCATGACTTATCTACACCCATCACCATTATCACCATCATTGCCCACAAAAGCTGGTTTGATGATGGCATTGGCATGGTTTTATGGCACCACATCACCACAAAAATTAAATCGCCAAAGAAATTTCATATAATCACGAGCTACCTACTGGTCACACTACCTTCCAAGTAAAGTTTCAGAACAAATTGCTCCCGTAATCTGCGAAAGAAACCAATGAGATTTATTTGTTTTTTCCAAAGTTCTTTTTACTCACAAAATTGGAATCAAGAAGAAGATCGAGAACAGACACACCTACCCCGGCTCCATACACTTCAGCTGTATCAAAGAAATTTATGCCTCCATCAATGCTGGCATCAAAAGCTTCCTTTGCTGCCTTCAACTTCCTGTCTGTCTCGTGATGGGGGGGAAATGTAAGTGGATAATTTGATCAGAAAAACCTCCGGATTCTCAATAACTCCGTCATAGAAGAGCATAATTATAAACGAACAACATATCTCACAAGGAATCGAGATAAATAGCATATAAGCCATTAAGCTGTGATATCAACGTACCAACAAGAACAAATAAAACCCAGTTTCTTAGAAAACAAATTAAAGTTTGGGCAAAGGAACATTTTTATAGTGTTAAAAGAGACCAAAAAGAGATTTCTAGATGAATTGTTAGAGATAGACACGTTTGAGGAAGAAAGATCTCTTGAAGAGGATGAGTTGAAGGGTTGTTTCTGATTTGAATGTCTTAATTAGTCAAGAAGTAATGTGGAAACAAAGATCTAAGATTCATTGGCGGAAGGTGATCAAAATACTTACTTTTTTCATAAAATGGCAAATGGAAGGAAGAGAGCTAATGCTGTTACTTTTGCTAAGGCAAATGGAATTGAAATATGTTCTGAAAAGGGAATTGCAGAAGCTTTCTACCAACATTACAAACTTTTTTTTGGTTATACAGTTGGTGAGAGAGTTACCCTTCAGTGGCAGAGTTTTTCCTTCAAATGAGTGGGGGGCTGAAATTTTGGAGATTCCTTTTTCTTTGAATGAAATTAAGAATGGCATTTTTGATATGGGTAGTGACAAATCACCTGGCCCTGATGGATTCTTTTCTCTGTTTCTTTCAAGAGTTTTCGGAAGTGATAAAAGAAGATATTATGAATTTTTTTAATGAATTCTATGAGGGTACACTTGACTATGCTTACATAGTGTTAATTCCAAAAAATAAAAATTCTGAAGATGTAGGGGATTACAAACCTATAAGTCTCTTGAATGTCATATATAAGATCATAACCCAAGTGCTCACTAATAGGTTAAATGAAAAAGTGTGTGATTTTATTGACCCTGTTCAAACATGATTTATTAAGGGGAGATTGCTTGTAGATGGTGCGGCAGCTGCACAAGAACTTATTTCCGGGTGTTATCAAGAAGGTGGATCACAGGGAATGTTATTAAAATTAGATTTTGCAAAGGCCTATGACATGCTTGATTGGGGGTTTATTATTGATGTGCTTAGACCTAAAGGGTTTGGAGCAAGATGGATAAATTGGATTAGAATTTGTCTAAACGGAGGGAAATCTGCTATCCTACTGAATAAAGTTCCTAAGAAGTGGATTGCATCAAGGAGAGCGGTGAGACAAGGTGACCCTTTATCACCTTTATTATTTGTGTCAGGGGCATATGCTTTCTCAAAGCTAACTAGGATAGCAATGGAAGAAAAGTTGATACAAGGAATTGGCCCATTTGATGACGTTAATGTTCTAACATTACAATATGCAGATGATACCCTTCTATTTTGTAAAGCAGATGTTGATAGTATGGTTGTTTTGAAACTGCTTTTATATGGGTATGTACGAATTAGCTTCTGGACTGAAAATTAATTTTACTAAAAGATCAATGATGGTGTTGGGAGATAATGGTTTACTATAGAAAAACATTGCTACAATGCTTAACTGTAAAGAGGGATCTTTCCACTTAACTTACCTCGGTATCCCTCTTAGACCAGGAAAACTACAGAAATAGGATTGACTACCATTGATTGATAAAATTGAGAAGAGATTGACAACTTAGAAAGGGAAAACCTTATCTAGAGCGGGAAGACTCATTCTTGAGAACTCTGTTCTGTCTAGTATGCCTCTCTTTTGGATATCTTTTCCCCCCCCTTTTCCGTAGTTGGCTGTGTAATAGATTAGAGAAAATAAGAAGATTTTTTTGGTCAGGGAAGTGGATAATGAAAACAAAAATGTGACTAATTTGGTAAAATGGGGGGAAGTGTGTAAACCTAAATGGCAGGGGGTTTGGGAATTCTTGACTTTAGAATCATGAACAGAGCTTGGCTAGGAAAATGTATGGCGATGGTTTGAAAAAAGGAAGTGCTTTGGAAAAGGATTATCTGCGTGAAATACTTTGCTGTTGATAATCTAGTTCAATATACAAATCCAAATGGGAAAAGATCAACTTTCTGGAGAGATAATTATAAAAATAAAGAAAGTTTCCTATTTAGTGCCATAATGGAGATAGGTGATGGGAAAAATACTTTGTTTTGGTTAGATAGATGGACTGGTGAAATGTCTTTAGCTGCAATGTTTCCAGATTTATATGCTTTATCTGTTGATCAGTTTATAACAGTTTTCTATAGTAGAGAAACAAAATACAAGATAGGTGGGTGTGGCATATCCCTTTTAAAAGGCAGCTTACATGACATTTAGTTTTGCAATATTGGAAAATGTTGAATAATGTAAATAATGTGAATTTTTCTACTGAGCACGATGTTAGAAAATGGAAATGTGAGTCAACTAACAATTTGACAGTCAAGTCTTATTATAATTTTTTGATTGATGGGGGGATTAGGTTTGATTGTATAGATATATGGAAACTCCCACTACCTTTGAAGATTAAAATCTTAGTTTGGTTGATTGTTAAAGAGAAATTGAATACAAAAGATTTGCTCAATAGACAAGGTGTTGCGGTAGACAATATTTGTTCTCTGTGTGGTGTAGAAATAGAAACACACTCCCACTTATTCATACACTGTTCTTTTAGTTTCCTCTGTATGGAGTTCAGTTAAACACAAATTTGTTGTGAATGGTGATTTTACTAGCTTACAGGAGTTATGGTCTTCTTGGAGATTATTCTATGTACCAAATGACTCAAGACTGATGTGGTAAGTTATGCTGTAGTTTGGTGTATTTGGGGAGAGAGAAATAATCGAATTTTCTCTCACAAAAGTAAACATGCCTTACAGATTTTGGGACAAATTAATTCTGTTGTTCAATTTTGGTTAGGAATATGTGCATCAGTGAATGCACAAGGAGATATTTCAGGCGCAGACCCTGGAGGAGTCTAGCCAGAGCTGAAGGAATGAAACGCAACTACTTGGAGGTGCAGAACATTGGAGAGCTGGCTGCTGAGAATCCTCTGCCCGAATATATGGTTTTTATGTGCTCTTTTTTTTTTTTTGGTATCATGAAAACTAATATTTTGTAAGGGAGGGCTTTTACGTACAAACATGCAAGGGATGATAATATTTTCAGCTGCACATTTAGGTTGGAGGTGTAGTTAAGTATGTACATCAGGCTGAGGTACCTGTGTGAGGCCTGATCTTTTTTTCTCAAAAAAATTAAACCCAGCTTCTAAATTAAGCCATAAGATAAAACAATTCACTACAATTTACATCAACTGAACTTTTGAGACAAAACAACCAATATAAACAATGACCAAACCCATATAAGAAATTGACCCATATAATATAATCTCAACAAATCACCAAAAATACAACTAAATATGTAACTTACCATCCCATTGAAAATCATTCCAATAGCTAGTATCACCCCAAGCCCAGGCCCCAATCCCAAGCTTGGTGACTTTAACCTCAGAACCACCCAACTTCACTTTGTTCTCCTCTCCTCTTGAGGTTGTAGCACTCTCAGAGGCCACAGCTCTTATTCTAAGACCGCTATTGCGGTGAAAAAGGCCGAAGCTTGTACCGCCCACTTGAAGAGCCATCGAAGCCTATGCGTCGAAATGTAAGAGCGGGGAAATTTTATGGGAGCTTTAGAAAAAATGCTTTTTTTTTGTGCCCTTTTTCTTTTTTGAGAATAAAGAAAAGGGATTTTATTTGAAGATGAGAAGCTCACGATAGAGTCCGAAGAAGGGGGGATCTGAGCGTGGAAGAGCGCCAGCCGTGAGGCACGAGTTCGGAATATGATTGGCCAGAGATTGGTTCGAAAACTTGGCTTGGCTTGGCCCCTCAATTTGAGTAGAATTTGGGGCCTTTTATGTAGAAGATTAGTGGCCTAAGCTTCTAATTATTGATAGATTTGTAAATTCTATCATCCCTCCTTTATATATAACTCTTGTAGTGCACGTGCTTTGCACCAAAACATACATGTTTTGTTTTATGTTTCTCAATTTTTTTGTTGGCTACAAAATAACAAAATGACTTATATAGAAATATAAAATATGAATAGTTACAATTTTATTTAAATGAATAAATTGTACGATTAAACTGTGTATAAAGAAATGTATGATTAATTATTACAGTTTGGATAAATTTTATAATTTATTCATAATTTATTAAAAAATTTATAATATATTAAATAACTTCTTCTCTTTTAAATATAATAGTATTATACATAACATAGTTATAATACTATTAGCAACTTTGTTTTAATTTCATAATTAGTTTTGTAGGCTGTCTAAAAATTACTGTAGATAGTTGATTCCCATCAAGCACTAATAATAGAGGTTACAATTCGACGACTTCCAGAATGCTACAATTTAAAGATTTTTACGGAAATCGACGAAGGTTACAATTCAACGACCTTCACAACAACCGATGGAAGTTCTCATTTGACGGATGTTTGTGGAAAAATTTACAGTAAAAGAAACGAAGAAAAATTGATCTGTATTCCTTTAATCTCAGTTATAATTGGATTTCCTGATTACAAAAGAGAGGAGAATTGATCTGGATTCTCCCCTTTGTTTAATTCTGGGTTCTTCACGGTGGCGATGAGATGCCTTCCTCGAATGCTCACGTCGAGTTTTCTTCTCGTTGACGATCCGACGTATTGATTCACTGGAACATGGTCTTCTCCTCACGATTTGACGTTGTGGAGAACTCTGAACGAGTTTGAAACTCTATGAAAGAGTTAATTTAACCAAAATCGGTCTATAAGCCAAGGATGAAGAAAGCTCTCGTTGCTGATCTCCAAAGCTCCAGCAATTCTCCCCAAGATCTCTTCTTTGCTGCCCAAAAGAAGGATGAAAGATTCAGCCCCGAACTAAGTTGATTTCTTAGTTATTTATAAGAGATTAAGGGGTGTAACTGCCCCCTTAATTCGCTCCTTTGTGGGGCTAATGGGATGTAACCGCCCCCTTAATCCGCTCCTAAGTGGGGGCGAAAATCCCTCAGATCATGGGGAGAAAACGGTTTCTGGAACCGTTCAACTCGTGTTTGAACGAGTCAAACGCAGGTCCTGCATTCTGGAATAAAATATGCGTTTGGACGCAGTGTTTGCAAGTTGCGTTGGGCAACAGATAGAACCTGCGTTGGCAGCTGTTAGAAGCTGCGTTTGGTAGTGGTTGGAAGCTGCGTTGGCAGCAGTTGGAAGCTGCGTTGGGCAGCGGTTGGAAGCTGCGTTGGGTAGCGGTTGGAAGCTGTGTTTTGCAGCATTTAGGAGCTGCGTTTGCATAGCTTTGACTCTGGAATGAGACCACTTGTGCTTCACCTCTGGGATGCAGGGATGAGTTTTGTGTCTTGGATTGAAGAGATTGTCGATTTGTAGTCTCTTTCTGTCAGAGCGTTGCAAAGATCATCGTTTTGTAATCTTTGCTTTAGCTCTTTGATATGTGAGAGTCGTCAGATTGTAACTCCCGATGTTGATTGTGAAGGTTATTGATTAGAGCTTTCATCAGTTGTTATGAAGGTCGTCAGATTGTAACCTTCATCGATCTACGTGAAAGTCTTTAAATTATAGCCTTATGGAAGTCGTCAGATTGTAACTTCCATCATTGGTGTTTAATGGGGAATCAACTATCTATTATGATTTTTAGATAGCCTACAACGGCCTTCACAATCACTAACAAGAGTTATAACTGACGACTCCCACATTCTAAGGAGCCGAGATGAAGATCACAATATTTGCAACGCTCTAACTAAAGAGACTACAAATCAACGGTTTCTTCAACTCAAAACGCAAAGCTCATCTCTGCGTTCCAAACTCAAAACGCAGAGCCCACCCCTGCGTTCTAAGAACAAAAGACAGAGCTCACTTCTGCGTTCCAAGCGACAAAACACAGGGCTCACTACTACGTTTTTGGCCTCAAATGCAGAACCCAACTCCGCGTCTCAAGTCCAGGACGTAGAGTTCATGCTCAGAACGTGAATTTCGCGTTTGACTCATTCAAGCACGAGCTAAACAGTTCTAAAACCGCTTCCCACGATTTGAAGGGGATTACACCCCACTAGGGAGGGATTTTAGAGGTTAGTTACATCACTTAATCGTCTATAAATAGCTAAAAAATCAGCTTAAATAGGAAGCTATTTTCGGATCTTTGAGGGGGAGAGATCTCGGAATCATCCTGGAGTATCGGCTCTTGGGATCGTCTTAATTTTGGCTTTGAATGTTGGCTTTTCGAAGCACCTTGATCGGCTCTAGTTTAACCTGCTTAGCAAGTTTATTTCGGCTAAAAGGGATTGAAATCTCTTTCTCAAATCAACTCTTTTGCAGAGTTTTCAACTTGCTCGTCAAGTTCTTCTAAACTCATTCAGAGTTCTAAATCTTGCTTTGCAAGTTAGTCAAAGACGTCGAGTCAAGAGGCGAAGACACCATTCCACGAGTCGAAGCGATCAGATCGTTAATGGGATACAAGATTCAAACTTCCATCGCCACCGAGAAGAACCCAACTTTAAACAAAGGGGAGGGTCTCCATTGATCCCTTCTCTCTTTTGTAAATTGGGAAACCAATATAGAAGAGTTGTAATTTCTTTTTCCAAATCAGTTAGAGAGAGATTGCAAAGAAAGATTATATTCATTCTTTTCCTAAGTCAGTTAGGAGGATTAATACGAATTTTATTCTCATTTCTTCTTCAATTTTTTCACGAACAAGTTTGTTACACTATTAGTAAATAATTTACTAAATCGTATAGTTATTAAACTATAGTGTAATTTATTACTTTAGAAAATACTATTAAAATTATTATATTATTACAATTACAATAATTACAAATTATTTTTTATACTATTATCATACTTTTAAAGTACTAATAAGATGTAAGGTAACAGGTAGTCTCCCATAAGAGGTGAAGCCCAAAAGACATAAGACATAAGACTAATGAATTTTTACTATTTTTAATTTGTTTAGTATTTCTAAATATGATGTGAAGATAAATTAGGGATAAATTTCAAACTTCTATTAAATAACATAATTCAATAATAAAATAATAGTGAGACCAAAGGTTATGAAAAAAATGAGGAAATGATTAACAAGAGGTTATATATAATTAGTGAATGATTAATTACAACTAATGATATATTTGAGATTTATCAAACTTAAAAGGGTAAAAATAGAAACCAAAAGTTTTGACAAGGCAATCCTCTTTTATATGTAGTATAAATGAGAAATTGATGGTTTTCTAACAGCACAAAAAATGTCATATGTCATATGAGAAGGTAACATGTGGACACCTAATCTTAAATTCATCTTAAATTAATCAAAAAATCATTAACAAATTAAATCTATCCATAATTAGAAAATCCTAATTATAATCAAATATTTGTTAATCATAATCAAATAAAAAAAGTACATGGAATTAAAAAATTCCAATAGTTATCCATAATCTAAAATTTTTATGTTGCCCTCCTTAATATTTTAAGGATACATTTCACCAAATTACCAATAAGTTTAATCGTTTGACACTAAGCCCCAAAATTTTTGAAACTCCCGGTAAGTTTGGCAATTTTAGAAAACCCGCAAAATATCTTAATTTTTTGTATTTAACCCCACAAAAACATTACCCCATAAATTTACATTAATGAACATTATCCCTAAAGATCATTATACCTCTCAAATCATTCATATTTGCATATTAACCCATACATTTAAAACAACCCTTGAAAAATATTTTTACAAATAGCACTATGAAAATTATAAAACTACAAACAACTCCTTTAAAAATATATAAATTGTAAATGGCCCCTTCAAGTTCTAAAAGTAACAGACAACCCCCTGAACATCTTAAAAACGACAAACATAATCCTAAAAAATACGAAAATTAAAAATAACCATAAAAAAACTAAAATCATAAAAAAAACCTGGGTCATAAAAGAGAATTTTCTATCTTATGGAGGGAGACTAGTTCTTCTGAACTCTGTTCTTACATCAATTCCTCTATATTTCATGTCTTTCTACAAACTCCCACTAGTAGAAAAACGATCAACCTAGACGGAAATTTCCGTCTAGGTTGATTGCAATTCCGTCTAGATTGATCAATCTAGACGGAAGTCAACCTAGACGGAATAAAGAATTCTGTCTAGGTTGGCAACCCAGACGGAATTTCCGTCTGGGTTGGATTTTTACAACCTAAACGGAATTTCCGTCTAGGTCGATTCAATCTAGACGGAATTCCGTCTAGATTGTCTTTTTTCAGGAAAAAAAAGTAATTACAATTTGGATTTCCCTGTACAATTACATTAATATTTGAATACATCCAGAAAATACTGTACACGCCACATTCAACCATCCAATCATAATCAAAATTCATAACAATTCCATTCAAAAACATCTATATAACCAAATCCAACACATTGTACAAATCCAACCATCCACTTCAAAATATACATCAATCAGTTCCGTCTAAAACACATCCAACAACATATATACTAATAATGCCAGTGACTAAGATATGATACACGACATGAATAAATATAGTGTTATAACAAATAAAACTGTTTATTGCATTAAAAATAAAAAAACCTCATCCATCGTCGTCGGCGGGGGTATCTCTATCCCGATTACGAGAACGGGTGCTGCTCCCTCCAATATCTCCACTCTGAATGTTTAATTGAATAATCATTATGTGGTGTTTGATAACATATTAGATAAAAATGAATTTATAAATATAAGAAAAAATAAGGTACCTGAGCACTACTCTGTCTAGCGCCGGAATTATCGCCAATCGAGCTAATGATCCGTATGACACCACCATACGAGCTATAAGGAATAGCACCGCCTAAATATTGTATAACATACCCCATGAGATCGTCCATCGAGTTTGCCGTCAACGCAACTCTAGTCATCTCATTAGTCACCTGAATATGCAGCTCTGGGTCAATTTTGTCAATCAGATACGCAGAGATACGTGCGACAAATGGCATAGCCTGGAAACTGCTTGTGGCTGCTCTCGTCGATGTAGATGGTGTGGAGGATGCTGTGGACGATCTGATGCTTATACCAGATGAAGCTCTGACACCATGCAGAGGATATCTTCCTCTCCTATTATTAGGGAGAAATAAATATTAAACTTTGCTCTCAAATTCAATAATGGTAAACAAATATAAATAGTATGTAGTATTCAAATTGATTCGATTTTTCACCATCCTTACCTATTATGACCCATCAGGTTCTGTGTGAGATTGATGTTCTCCTCTGCAGAAAGCATGTGAGGGTCTGGCTCGGTTTGTTCCTCCTCCTGCGAAATGTAGACAGATGCAGCCTCCTTGGATGCGTTCTCAAATCCCTCCTAAAGCACAAATTTATAGTTAATTCAAGATAATGACCATATTATTTGTGTTCTCGTTTCCTCGTAGTGTTAACAAAATAGAATTAATAATACTACTCAAGATATGTATAAATCTCACCACTAACTCGAGATTTTTTGTGATCTTATCCCGATTCCTCTCATCACCCCTATATTGTTCACGAAAAGTACCATATGCCGCTCTGGCCCTCAAGTGTATCGGCATTAATGATTTCCCCTGTCATATTATAAATTATGAGATTTCATAATCATACTAAACATTAAGATCTTTTAAATCTTTAAATGACATATACCGTATCTTGACAATAAACATCCTCCGGATTGGCATAGGAGTGTGAGCCCAAGTAATGGTCATGCAGCTTCTTTCTTCTATTTTCTGACCCCTTCGTGGATTTATTCTTTAAAAAAAATTCTGTAAATATAAAATAAAATAATATCTTAAAATTATAAACTAAATTTCATGAAACTAACCTTGGCGACATCGCTGTCCCAATACATGAGGAGAGACGTGAAATGAATCTCGTCAACTCGGTCATCGAGGTTTAAAAACCTCTGCCAGTCCTTGTAGGCATCGAAAATTGCCTATAGGTCTCCACAAACGGTTCAGTGTTAAAGAGCGACGATGAACGTCATTTATCCGAGCCACACTTTGGAGGGGGTATCTGTAGGCATCGAAAATTGCCTATAGGTCTCCACGAACGGTTCAGTGTTAAAGAGCGACGATGAACGTCACTATCCGAGCCACAGGAGTCCAATTGACGTCGACGAACGACTGAAGTGAATCGACGAGCTACGTGAGCTGATAGGATTTCGGAACAACGAAGACCCGGACCAATCGGAAACCCGGCACTATTCACAAATAAGACAGCGCCCTTCGTGCCTCGACCACTCTACAGATGATCCAACCACCAGAGCGGATCGAACTCTTCGTCAAGCATCCAACGCACCCGGAATCATTTAAATCCGAGTTGGGACGACGAATCAACGGCAAACACACCCGGAAGAGCCTCGGACTCCCGGGGGTGTCTAGGAAAAGCCTAGACACCCCAGGGGTGTCTCGGCCAAGCCGAGACACCCCAGGGGTGTCTCGGCCTGGCCGAGACACCAGGGGGTGTCTAGGCCTCCTAGACCCCTCCTACACACTCCTATATGCCTATAAATAGACCCCTAGTGCCTTGCTTTTGGAGGGGAGGATTTTTGGAGAGCCTTGGCGAAGCCCTGCTGCAGTGAAGAGTGGCCGTGCGCTTCAACGAGGAGAGGAAAGGTCTACATCAGCGCCTTCATCACCCGTTCCCCCTGATCCTTAGTATTAGCCATTGGCGTTAATACTAAGAAGAGCTGATATCTCGCTTTAGCCGAGATAGACGCTTATAGCTTCTAGATCTCTCGCGGATCGACGAAGCTCTGTCCAATTTTTCGGAACAGATCTGAGTGCCAGGTGGTCCACGGATATTGACGTCCCCGTCACCCCGGTGGTCCACGGATATCAACGTCCCCGTCACAGGCCAAAGACCCACGCAAGCAAGAGATGACAAACAGATCTTGCGTTTGTTTGAAAAGAGTTGTATTTCTTTTGTTTTCATTGTGTAAAGGTCTTATAAAAAGGCTATCTTTTTGTTTTATTATAACGATCGAAGTTGTAATGAATGCAGCAATGAATACAGCAACTTTTTTCGCAAACAGTCCTCCTCATACCTGTCATAGGTTTCATGTTTGATCTCATGCCTCCATTGTTTGAGGACTGCTTCAACCTTGACATTAAACACATAATTCCAAGCCCCCTCAAAGTCCTCAAGGCAGAAGCAGTCCTGTAGATTTACATACACATTTAGTAAGGATAATTTAATATCAATTACTAATTATTAATAAATGAAAATCTAAAATAATATGCACTTACCATAAGCGCAGTCCATATCGCCTCGTATGTGGTCCATGGTAATTCTCGAAAATGAAAATAAGGGTTGACAATGGTCGCTCTACGCACGAGAACCCTAATATATGCATTCAATCGGGTTGACCAAGGACCAACGGGCAAATTAGAACTATTCCACCTAATAATGCCCCTCATTCCTCTTGGCGGTTGTTTAGAATCAGGCTTACCTCCGCCACGTCGTCCCTCTATGCGATCCTTCTTAGCACCTACAATAATGACAACATGATAATATATCATATAATATACAAATGTGAAAATTAAAAGTATTTATATAATTTACCATTCGCTATCTCTCTTTCTTTTGCTGCGAGTGCAACAGCTTTCCTAGTCTCCAACATAGACAGCATTTCTTGATACCTTCTCGCAGCACGTGGGTGGTACTTCCTTGAATCAGCCTTGGACTTATGAGAGTCTGGAGGTAAAGGTAAACTGAGAAAGTCCTGGGTCTTTGGCCGCAAGTCAGTATGGAATGTATATGATGGATATGTCGGGGTCCAAGTAGCACCTACATAAGAAAGAAGAATCATTAATATTAAAATTTAATTGAACATTATCAATTATTAAATATTTAATACCTGCGTCGGGTGATGGTTCTGGTGTTGCATCAGAGGGGCCGGGTGATGAATATCCAGCATCTACAACAAATGAACACTATGAGCTAGATAACTAAAAATTTATAAAACATGTTAAAGTATTAATTAATTTTTATACCTGCATCTACAACAAATGAACACTATGAGCTAGATAACTAAAAATTTATAAAACATGTTAAAGTATTAATTAATTTTTATACCTGCATCCGGAGATGGTAGTGGATCATCAGCACCACTACCTGGGGTGATACTCCGTGATCGATCACCCTCCGGTTCAAAGAGCCTCCTCATCCTCCTCCTCATCTGCAAATATAATAAAGACAATCGTTAAGAAAAAATTGTATACATGCTCATGAGATATGTTGTTATGAAATGCATTATTGTTTTTATTATGATAAGATAAAAATCGATAATGTGGTGTAACATATCAGGTTCATACCTACATCCAGCGCCACATTCTGTGCGTAAGAGAATTCTTGCCAAACATCATCAGATGAACCGATTGGTTCACTATAATTATCTTCACTTTCTTCAATATTTTTTTCATTGTTATTAGGAAGAACAACAGATCTTGGCTCCTTGTACAAAACCACCCAATCATACATGACATTCGGATCTTTCACATAGAAGCACTGATCAGCTTGTTCTGCGAAAATGAATTTCTCATCCGTATATACTTCTCGGTGAAGATTGACTAGTGTAAATCCATAATGATCCTTTTGCTTTTTTGCAGGACACCACCGAACCTTGAACATCGTGTAAGTACATTGTTTTGGTTTACCAAACCCGTAAATTACCTCAACGATATCTTCTAATTGGCCATAATATAATATGTCAGCTAGAATTGGATTCTGATCTCTTATACTTGAAAAACATTCTTGAGCAAACAAGCCCATGACCCCACTGTTCTGAGTTACCCTCCTATCATCGGTCTCTAACGTTCGAAATTTATATCCATTCACCAAATGCTCATTATAACGTCTCACTTCGTGATAAGGACGTTGTGCATGGATAATAATTTCATCTGGTAATGTAGTATCATCAAGAAGTGATTTTTCAACCTAAGACAAACAATTTGAGAATATTTAGGCGATGTTATATTATGAATGTTCAATAATTAATTGTAAAACACTTACATCAAATCTTAACCAATCAGAAAATTCTTTCCTATGTCTTTTCTGAATATTATGCGCTGCATTCCTACCGGTTGTTTCATTCTTAAGCTTCTCCAGATGTCGCCTATATAAACAATATATAAGTTTGTATTGATAAACAACTATATGTAAAATGAATATTTCTCATCTATATTACAGATTTTATTTGTTACCTTCGATAGTCTTCGAACATATCAAGGTTTTCCAACACATATGCATGAATTTGATCTAAGAGAGATCTCGGGTATTTTTCACGCTTCCTCTCCTTTTGAGGTGCTTGAGATGTGGTTTTCTTCTTACGCATGTAACGTGATGCAAACACAAAGCATTCGTTAGCCACGTATCCTTCAGCTATCGAGCCCTCGGGACGAGCTCGATTGCGAACATTGTTTTTCATGCAGCCCAAGTATCTTATAATCATAAAAGTTAATTATTAGCACGGTAATTTGAAAAACGCGTATACAATTAATAAATATAAGAAAAATCATAAATTACCTTTCAATCGGATACATCCAACGATAAGTAACAGGACCGGCGATTCTAGCCTCTCTTGCAAGATGCTGGGTAAGATGGACCATAATTGTAAAAAATGAAGGAGGGAATATTACTTCCATATTGCATAGAGTAACTCGGACATCGGCTTCAAGTTTCTTAAAGTCATCTACATCTATGACTTTAGAGCATAATTTTCTGAAAAATCCACAATACTCAATAATAATCTTCGACGCTTCTTTATCCATATTGTTACGGATTGCAACAGGGAGCAATTGATGGAGAAGAACGTGATAATCATGTGTCTTCAGACCTAAGAGTTTTCTCTCTTGCACCTGGACATTATTTGAAATGTTAGCAGAGTAACCATCCGGCGACTTTACCGATTTGAGAATTTCACAAACTCGTTGCATCTGCTCATTTGACATTGTAACACGAGACGGAGGCAACTTTAATTTTTTAAGGCCAACGTCTTGAGCTTGCAAATCATTTCGGATATTCAAAGCAGTCAGATCTTGGCGCGCCCGTAGATCATCCTTCGACTTGTTTGCATCTTGTAGGAGAGTTGATACTATGTTATCACATATATTTTTCTCAATATGCATAACATCTAAGTTGTGTCGGATTTTTAGATTCTGCCAGTAAGGTAGCTGAAAGAAGATACTAAATTTAGTCCATCCTCTAGGTAATGTTTGAGCTTCGTCCTCAACTTGCATTTTACGGACCTTTCGCTTACGCTTCAATGGCTTTTTTAACTTTAAGTAATCTCTTACTCCGAGCGTGTTAAATTTAGAATAGCGTTTTTTCCCAAACACAACTTTTGGAAACCCCTCAAGTAATTGAACGATCTCAGTACCTGTCAGTTGACGCGGCTTCATTCTTTTCTCAACTGTACCATCAAACTTAGCTGATAATTTTCTGTACTTATGACTCAAGGGCAACCACCTTCGATTAAACCAATAACAACTCTTTCGGCTATGTGGTAATTGAATAGCTTCAAATTCTAGACCACATACAGGACAAGCACACTTGCCCTTCGTAGAGTACCCTGACAGATTAGCATAAGCTGGAAAATCATTAATCGTCCATAGTAGAATAGCACGTAATCTAAACGACTCTTTTAAATGGGCATCATATGCTAAAATA